TTTCTCTGCCGAATGCGTGTCCTTACCGCTCGAGTCGAGCTTCTCTGTGGACGTCGACGGTGTTAAGGCGCTCAGATAGGCGGATCGTCTACGACGTTCCAGAGATGCCTGCAAAATTATAATAATTATTATATATATAATATTAATAATAATAAATAATAAAAACAATAATAAATATAATAATAATAATAAATAATAAACATAATAATAAATAATAATAAAAATAACCTCTTCAGCAGCTGCCGCACGCCTCGTCACATGTGCGCCTTCTTTCATATTCAAAATATCTTTTTGCATTGTCTGAAATTATCATTATCATTATTATTATTACCAAAATATAATAAATATCATTTTAAAATAATTAAAAATTCAAATCAATGACCTAAAATCAAACACCCAAAATATGACCTAAAATCAAAAATTCAAAAAATGACCTGAAATCAAACACCCAAAAAATGACCTAAAATCAAAACTTTAAAAAATGACCTACAATCAATAACTCAAAAAATGACCTGAAATCAAAACCCAAACACCCAAAAAAATGACCTAAAATCAAAAAATTGATAACCAAACGCACCCTCAACGCATTCAACGAGTCATCAGCCATCTCCTTCGCGTAATTATTCACGTCATGTCCCGTGCTATTAAACATCACCGCATTCGCAAACATCAACAACAACCTCCTCTTAAAATCCAACATATCGGCTATTCTGCCCGAATCCACCTGCTTCTTCAACGTTTGCAGATCCATTCGACTGAAATTTCCGTGATCTAAAGTTCACTTCAGATGACCTGTTATTAATTCCGGGTCCATTTTCAGATGACCTGTTATTAATTTCAGGTTTAGGCAGACTCGAAAAAATAACCCACTTCTTCACCACCTTCGAATATCCCCTCGCAATACTATCCGATACAGGTTGAGCGAATATGGCTGCGTGCCGGTGACTCGATACCATTCTCCAAACCGATGTCATAAAGGCTTTCTGTTCGATCGTCGTCTCATCCAGTTCATCCTCAAATAATAATAATAATAATAATAAATAATATATAATAATAAATAATATAGAATAATAAATAATAACAATAATAAATAATAACAATAATAAATATTAAAAAACAATAGCAATAAATAATAATAATAATACCGTACCCTCCTCGACCTACGCCTCGATGACCCCATCGGATGTCTTGAACTCTCCGACCTCGTGCTTCTTGGAGTCGTGACCGTATCCACTCCAGAAGATGGTACCTCGCGTCTAGGTCGACCTGAAATTAATTTTGGGATACCATTATTATTCTTAAAAAACAATAAATAATAAATAACAATAAATAATAAAAAATCCTCACCTCTCTGCTTCTCTAACCCGCTCGCTGCTCTCCTCTTCGACTGTCTTGTCCCGGCGCCGCCGCTCTCGCTGTCTGCCTTTGTCTCGCTGTCTTGTCTGCTCGCACTGTCGTGTCTGCTACCCTCATNGCGCTGTCTCTTTTTTGGCCGCAATTATGTCACTTCGGATGTCACCCAGCGGTTTATTCTCCTCTTCGTCGTCGTTCTCCTCCTCATCTGACTCTAATATGGCCGATGCTGACGCGCGCGGGTGCGCCGACGGCGGCATTCCATCGGACGCCTGACAATAATAGATGACAATAATGACAATATTAAATGACAATAGTGACAATATTAAATGACAGTAATAAATAATATAATAATACAAATATTAAATAATATAAAAACGCACCCTCGTCCTCACCATTCCCCCCGCGTTCGCCCTCTCCTCCCTCCTCGACTCCACCTCTTTAACTCCGCCGGCACTTCGCAACGAACCTCGTCTGCCCACTGTCTGCTGCGCTGGTTTCTCTGCTACCTCCTCGGTTCGCTTAATATATCATCAATTACATTAATTAATAATTACAATAATAATAAATAACAATAATAATAAATAATAACAACAATAAATAATAATAAATAACAATAATAATACACAACAATAATATATAAAAACAATAAATAAATCCAAATAAACGCACCCTTTTGGACCCCTTCACACTCTAATAATATATCATCAATAATAACAACTATAAATAATAATAAATATCAATAATAAATAATAATAAATAACAATAATAATAAATAATAATAAATAATAGACCCACCCCCTTCGTCCCCTTTNTAATAAATAATAATAAATAACAATAATAATAAATAATAATAAATAATAGACCCACCCCCTTCGTCCCCTTTGTACTCTCCCCTCCCTCCGGTTCCGGACTCGACTGTATCTCTATATGCGTTTCGACTATTTTTGAGCCATCCGAATGCTTCTCACTCGATTCTGTATTAGTCGCTGTTGTAGATGGGTCCCGCAGCGATAATTTTCTGTAAATAATAATAATAACAATAATAAATAATAATAAATAACATTAATAATAATAAATAACAACAATAATAATTAATAATAATAAATAACACCAACAATAATAACAACAAATAATAATATATAACATCAATAAACCCCGCCCACTCACCTTCTTTTCGTTGTCGCTTCTTTAGTCCCGCCCCCTCCTTCTGAATCCTGCCCGCTAACTCCGCCCACTGACGCGCTCTCATCGCCGTCATGCGTGCGTTTCCGCCTTGTGGGCGGGGCTAATTCGCTCAATCTTAGCGGCGTTACGGACGACTCGTTTACACGACGACGCTCTGATCGACGTCTGAAAATTAAATTCCTAATAAATAACAATAAAAAATAATAAAAATAATAAATAATAATATATAATAACAATAAATAAACAAAAAATAATCCCAAAACCAAATCAACCAATCAGCACTCGCCTCGTCACCACTGGCTCCTCCCCGTCGTCGGCTTTCTCCGCCCCTCGCCTGCTTCTCAACGACTGCGATGGGGGTCCATCTCCAGCCTCGGCGCTTGGCCCTCCGCTTGCCGAACTCTTACGACTTCCTTCAAAAAACAATAACAATAACAATAATAATAATAAATAATAATAATAAATAACAACAATAATAAATAATAACAATAATAAATAACAATAATAAATAATAAAAGCAATAAATAATAATAAAACCCACTCAATTCAGGTGTATGCACCTGCCCTTTCGACTGATCCGTATCGCCTTTCAGTCCAATATCAGCGGATGCCTTTCTCGGAGACATCCGCACAGCCCTACTGCCCGTACGACCCATTGCACTTGTCGATGCCTCACCCTATAATAATAAATAATAACAACAATAATAAATAATAACAACAACAATAAATAATAACAAATAATAACATAATAAATAAATAAAAATAAACAATAATAATAAATAACACTAAAACCAACCCTATTCTGATTCCTCAGTTGTCTCCTCTCACCCCCTGCCTGCGTATGCCTCTCATCCCCACCCCTACCCTCGCCCACGCTTCTACCCGACCTAGTTGTCGACTCCTGCACTGTTGGCTCAGTCTTGGTCTCACTACTCGACATCTTAATTAGTAATTAATTACAATAAATAATAACAAATAATAATAAATAATAACCAACCTCATCCCCCCTTCCAATCCCATCCCCCTCCATCGAGCCCCCCTCCACGTCCTCAGCTTCCAGTTTCACTCTGGCCATCTGCACCTCACCCGTCGACTTCTCTTGTCCTTCCGTTAACCCTCGTGGCGAACCTCAAAACAGTCTCCATTATTTCCGTACAACGCAGACAGTTACACTGCCAAATGAAAGCCGTCACTTGTACACACAAAACGAAGAGAATTAGACGATCAGACAAACAGAGTCCACTATTAAGAGTAGTGCACAGACAGCTAGACAGCTGAGAAGAATCCGCCCACTCAATTGATAACAATAACAAATAATAATAAATAATAACAACAATATTAAATAATAAAAAATAACAATAATAAATAATAATAATAAATAATAAAATCATCCCTTACCCGCGGGTATTTTCTCCACAGAGTTTGTGGCGACCTTTCCCTCCTGAACAGTCGAGTCTGCAATTGCCACGCTACGATCCTCCACCGAACCCTTCTCACCCGCCGCACCTGACTGCAAATAATAATAACAATAATAATAAATAATATTAATAATAATTAATAACAATAATAACAACAATAATAATAATAATTAATGACAACAATAACAATAATAATAAATAATAATAATAAATAATACCAAAACGACACAACCACTCACCTTTTGCTCCTTTTTTATACTAGACACCACCCCAGCAGCTCCATCGGATGACGTGACCGGCTCATCTTCCTTGACCTCTGACCTTTGCCCTCCGTCACTCGGCTGACCTTTGACCTCCTCCGTCACCTCTATCGTGCCACCCGACTGGCCAATGCCACTCTGACACTCATCAATTTCAGCCTCTCTCACCAATTTCTTCGGACTCATCGACCTCAGGCTCATACCACCGCCGTCGCCTCCACTAGTTCGGGAGCTCGGTATCTCCGGGATCTCTGGCGGTCCCGATTGTCCGGATGCATCAGCTGTCTGCGCTCTCTCCGATTCGCCTACACTCTCCGCTTTCTTTGTCGCCTCGTTCTCCTCCTCCTCCACGTCCAATTTCTCACCGTCCGCCCCGATTCCAGATGTCCCAGCCTCGGCACCGGACACCTGAGGTACCTGTGGTTCCTCCAGTATCTCGGATTGCACGACGTCCATATTTTTCGGGCTTTTCAGGTCACCACCACTGCTCTTAGGCTCACTGGTCTCAGCTGCCTTCGCGTCCCCAGATGACCCTTGACCTTTGTCCCAGTTCAGCCCGTCGAAGAGGGGTTTTATCGGCGAGAACGGGGCCGCAGAAGGACTCGATTCGGACGGCTGCACGGGTCGTGAAGGGGGGATTACGATTCGCAGCGGAGGGTATTTCTCTGGCTGAAATATTTACCACCTATATATACACTAAAAACATTTACATTACCAATATTTAATAATAATAAATAACTACAATAATAATAATAAATAATAACAAATAATAATAAATAATAATAATAAACAATATTAATAATAAATAACAAACCTCCTCCTCATGTAATGCCCGCAATTCCGCGATTTTCTCCATCCCAGCTTCCACCTCTCTTTTGACTACCTCTGGATCTCGCTTCAATTAATTATTATTATAACCACAACAATAATAATAAATAATAAATAACAATAAATATAATAAATAATAATAAATATAATAAATAATAATAAATATAATAAATCCCACCTTACTATCCTCCAGCCTCGCCTCCTCCAATCTCTTCGCTATCTCCTCATCTGTCAATGGATTATCCTCCGAAAATATCCGATTGAATATCGCTGCCTTCTCGCGCATTTTTATCAACAGCATCTCGGTTTGTCGAGCATACTCCAATTTCACCTATTTTTTAAAATATTTACAATAATAATAATAAACCTGAAATTAAATTTCGAAAACCAAAAAATGACCTGAAATTAATTTTTTAAAGCTGCCATAACCCTCACCTGTTTCTGCAGATACACAATCCATGCCTTTATCAATTCCTTCTGTGAGTATTTCTCACCCTTCTGCCTGATAAAATGCTCTGGGTGACCGCTGCAAATTATTCTATCGAATTCATCCTTACATGTCTGCAAAGTTATTACTATTACTATTACCATTACAATAATAATAAATAATAATAAATATATAATAAATAATTACAATAATAAATAATAATAAATATAATAAATAAATTTAAAAAAATAACCTTCGCCGTGAAAAATCCCGTCGAACGTTTGAATGCAAACTCATTTGTTAGATTCTCCGCACACACTCGCCTTAAAACACATAATTAATTATTATTATTTATCATATTTATTATTATATATAATAATATTTATTATATATAATTACATTTAATATTATTTATTATTACACATAATATTAATTAATAAACCCACCACTCCAACTGCGTGTCGAACAACGTCAACAACTTCAACGACTCCTCCAAGCTCCACTCCGGAGCCATC